CACGAAAGAGTGTTCAAAGCACTCTCACGCTTATCAACTTAATAATGGTTTGGTTGAGGGTTTTAGATCTCATCACATATAAACATACATTTTAATCTAATTAAAACAATTTTGGTCCTATTACAACTATTGGTCCATTTGATTGTTTTAGTTTTATATAATACTCCCACTATGCTTATAAAACGGTTTTTAAAGCAAGAGTATATGATACTACTAACATAAGGTTTGCATTCATTGATGGACTATATAGTTGCCTTAGGGCCTTAGGATGACTATGAACCTTTTAATTAGATCCAACACGAGCCTTGTGTTGAATATCGGTCTAGGAATGGTGATTGATTTTAGTTACGCGTTTAATCACATTAAGGCGTGTTGTTCCTAGGGGCGTTGGACCCAACTACTCCAATTTCATGCATATCAAATAAAGCAAGAAAGAAGTACTTCAAAGTAAAGATGAGCTTATGCTCTTTACAATATTTGAATGATTCAAATTACTTTAAAGTAAAGAAGAGCTTAAGCTCTTTTACAACATTTGATCAAATCAAATTACAACCAAAATCTAATCTACACATTCCCATGGTTCAAACAAATTTGAAACGGCCTTTCACATAGCTGAATTATCGTAGGCTTAAGTTCATAATCACCCTTTAATTAATTAACGCTTTAACTAATTAAATTGAATGCAACATTTTCATTTGGTTTTTGTATCCATAAAATTGATTTAAATGGAGCTAAATGAAATGAAAATCCAATTCTCATTTAAAGAGACAAAACCATTTTGTTCTCAACCTAATTTGGGCCAAAATGCAATAACCTCAACCTTTGGGCTATGTTGCAAAACTTAAACTTTTGAGCTCACTTTGTAAAAACACAAAAGTTCACTACTTCATGTAATTACAACTAGAACCCAAAAATTTCAACAAATTCAAAAACTTCATTAAAGGAACAAAACAATTTGTCCTTTAATGATTTTGGGTCTTTACGTAAATACGTAAACTTTTGGGTCAAAGTGCAAAAACACAAAAGTATCAAAACTTTATGTAATTGCATAAAAGCCCCAAAATTACCCTATTTTAATAGGGTGGCCAGTTTTAGTTGAGAGGGAGGGAAAAAATTGAAGCCACAAAATTTGGAAATTTTTTTAACTAAGTCATAAAGCCTTGCAAGTGGTTTGTGACATAAATTCTTGCAAGTGATGTGTGTGTAAGAGTTTCTATCACCTTACACAATTTCATTCACATTAAAACATTTGATAAAGCACAAAACAAAGACTTTATGAAATAAATCAAAACTTTGAATCAAAACACCAAACTTTTTGTTCTTACTAAAATGTCAAGAACAATGAAGAACATTCATGAAAAACCCATAAGAGCTCCATGAACATTTTTCATCCAAAGAAATCCCAAAACCACTCAAACTTAAGGGAAATAACATATAACCAAACTAGGGTACATAGGGGTTCCAAAAGTTACTTGAAAACACTTTTAACAAGTCAAACAAGAACCCAAAAAATCACCCTTTGGATTTGGCCGAAAATCCCCAAAAACATGGCACCAAATTTTAGCTCCAATATTCATGCTCATAAGAACTACATCTACAACATTTGAGATGACAAATTTTCTAACAAAATTTACATTCAAAGAAACAAGAATAAAGCTTGTAACATATTACAACTTTTAAATCACAAACTATGAACTACAAAACCCAAAAGGATTCACCAACTACTAGACCTAGGCTCTGATACCACTTGAAGGATGATTTTGTGAAAAACATGTTCATTTAAGCAACATCTATAAGCATGCAATTAACAATTAAAGGCGGAATCATGCTTGCATGCACTTAAAAACAAAACATTAACCATGAAATTCAAAGCCTAGTAGATTGGTGAACCAAGACTCAACTCAAATCAAAGTGAGTTGAGAAATTATACCTTTGTAGATTCCTCTTTGCATAAGCAAAGGCTAATCACCCAAAGAGAGGGCCTTCATTCCTTGCATCTTAGATCTATGGATTTGGATGGATGAAATGGTTCTCCAAGTTCCCAAAATTGAGAACCTCTAAGTCTCCACACCAAGGTAAGATTGATGAAGAAATGAGTGACCTTGGAGGAGAAAGATTACTAGCTAATCCCTCCAAGGGGGCCGGCCTCTTTAGAGAGAAAGGGAGAGACATGTTCTCTCCAATTTTCTCCAAAAGAAACCCTTAATGAATTTTGGCTATAAAGTTCTTTATATAGTCACTTCTTTAAGTGACCTAAAGAACCAAAAACCCTAATTCATATCAAATGGCCGGCCACAAAAGGGATTTGGGCTTTTGGGCCCTTGTGAATCTTTATTCATTAAATTGTCATACAACTTAAGTCAATGGGCTTGACGTTCGAAGCCCATTGGGCCTTAAGGTCCAAAACTATCCCGAGGTCTTTAACGAACTTGTTCGTTTGATTAATTAACATATTAATTAATCCTTGCCATAAACAATTAAACCATTTAATTATTCTTACTCATCTCCATTGTTTCTTCAATCTCCACCTTACACGATGTACGATCCATTAGGTTCCTTTTAGCGAGGCAGTGGGCGATTAAAACCATTTCAAATCGATTGTGAATTGAAACTTACTTTCAATTCTCCCTTTAGTGATTATACACGTTTAGGGCTTCCACAAACCATGAGTGACACCTAGCAGCATATCATGGTTACCCAAGCTAATCAGAAGAGGTGGAGAACCTATTCAGTTTAGGATTACAAATGCAATACGGTCTTTCTCTAATACAATACTCTTGACCACATTGTTTGGTTTGATAGTTTATTCATGTCTACTATCCAATGTGATTCGTGTGCTTATATGATTACCTTGAATGTGATTTGGAATGACTTCCTAAATCTCATTCATACTCTGGCCAGAGATTCTTAATCATATCATAGAGTATTCTCCCTCAAACAATTTGAAGGTTAGAGATCCCTTGTTGCGCATTCACTTGCCTCCATGGCTAAGTGGCTTAACCCCAACTATGCCGTGAACACCCTCATTTTGGAGTGACTTTTAACATAATCAAAGATCAAAGACTTAACCACAAGACAACTATGATGCCTCAGGTCAAAGGACTATTTTGCATTATCCCAACCATAAGTTCTCATGTGACATGAATATGAGAACTCTTTGTTGATCCTGTTTAGTGAACTCATTCTCTATTGAGCACCTACGTACTTGTCTTGATGTCACACACACCAATGACTCGAGACTAGTCACTCTTCCTGAGAGAAGACACAGCATGTACTGATCTTAACGGACTGTCAATGCCCAATTGGCAATCCTATGATCAGGAACGTTTAGGATATGTATACGAAAGAATGGTCTCATGAATCTAACTTCTTTAGATTGCATTCTCCCAATCACATATTCCTTGGACTTATCGTTTAAGCATATAACATTTATATGAGACGGCTTAAAACAATAATCTTTGCCCTTTATATTTAAACTACATTAGTTTAACTTGTGAAATGTCCGTAAAGTATCATCATATGATTGGTTTTAGGGCACATTTCCAACAACCACCATTATAGAGCATCAACTCTAACCCATCATTTATGTATTGAGAAGCGAGCCCTTATTTTATAAAAGGGACTCCCTCACCATCATTAGAGAGCATCGCCGCCAGCTGAGCAACCGCCTCGCCGCGAGCATCAACTCTGGCACATTATTCATGTATTGAGGAGCGAGCCCTTATTTAATAAAAGGGACTCCCTCACCATCATTAAAAGAGCATCGCCGCTAGCTGAGTAACCGCCTCGCCGCAAGCATCAACTCTTAGCCTATCACTTATGTATTGAAGAGCGAGCCCTCATTTCATAAAAGGGACTCCCTCACCTTCAACGCCACAAGCCGAGCCAACCAAGGCAACATAAGCCACGAGCCTCGCAGCCTCGCAGCATGTGCTACTTCTAGTTTAGCATCATTTCAGATTGAGCACCATCTCATATCGAGCATCAGTTCAAGACAACATCTAGTTACTTCGGCCCACACATCGACTGAACTTCAAGTCTCCAGCCAAAAGACTCTCTTAACTGAAGACTTAGGGGACTACTGTTTATACCATATTTAGGGCCTCGTATTTAGATCTCGTACAAATACTCGGGGGACTTAAATGTAATTATGTGATAAAGGAATGGGTAAATATGTAATAAGTGAGGAGTTCTTATTCTATAAAATGACCCTTCACCCTCATAATTAGGGGAGGCCAATTCCTAGGCCCTCTCACCCCCTCTCAAAGCTCTCACTCTCAGAGCTCTCTCTCTCTCCCTCAAATAAATACATAATCAGTGTGGACGTAGCCTAAACCTTGGGGTGAACCACGATACTTCTTGTGTTATTTACATTTCTTACAGATTCACGGTCGGATTTATATTGTTCCAAGACTTCCCGTTTTTTGCATCAACTGTTTATACCATATTTAAGGCCTCGTATTTAGATCTCGTACAAATACTCGGGGGACTTAAATGTAATTATGTTATAAAGGAAAGGTCAAATATGTAATAAGTGAGGAGTCCTTATTCTATAAAAGGACCCATCACTCTCACAATTAGGGGAGGCCAATTCCTAGGCCCTCTCACCCCCTCTCAAAGCTCTCTCTCCTTCAAATAAATACATAATCAGTGTGGACGTAGCCCAAACCTTGGGGTGAACCATGATACATCTTGTGTTATTTACATTTCTTGCAGATTCACGGTCGGATTTACGTTGTTCCAAGACCTTCGGTTTTGTGCATCAACATTTGGCGCCGTCTGTGGGAATCGATACAAAAAGTTGTGTCGATTCTCTTTCATTTTTTTTCACCTCCATTGTGAATCTACAAAATCACAAAAAATCAAGAACACCATTCTCTCTCTCCCCATGGTTTCTTCAACTTCAGTTCTGACTGTGAATTTGGCATTTGAGCCACTTGGGACATCCTAAATAAATAAAATAAAATATAAAAAAAAAACCTGAAATTTGGTATTTGCAGTGTTTGCAGTGTGAACATCTCTCTGGGATGGAAGTCTTCGAGCTTGTTCGTGCAGTCAAGAGCAGTTTCTACTTCTATTTCTCTCACTGGATTCTCGGTTTCTTCCAGAAGAAAATGCCCTCACAGAAAGGTTTCTGTAACATGCTCTTCTTCCACCTTTTCATCTTCTGATCCACTCTTGGTTAAGGCTGTGAGAGAGGGAGATAGAAGGCGAAGAACAGTTACAGATTCAAAGAGCAAGACGAAAGAAGAAGGACGGCGACGCAGGAAAACTCGCGAGGGTTTCTGTGAGTCGACTCGGACGATTCCCCTCCTTTCCGCCCCCGAGCCTTTCGCCTCTCGCGCCGTCCGTTAAGCCTCCATGATTCTCAGTCAAATTTTAAGGAGGCGCGCGCGCTAAGAATTTCGACTCGTTGTTTTGATGGTCATGCTCGCTTCGGTTGATGGCTCTTCCAGATCTCGCATTCTGAGTTTTTACTTTCCAGATCTTAACAGCTAAACAAACCACTGTAAGCGACGTTCTTCCTCCGCCAGATAATAAACTCACCCGCAGGTGACACAACATGCTAACTATCTTGAAGATCCCCCGCTGGAAAACCGATGGTCCCCGAGGGCCACGTCCCGGTCTACATCGGTGACGAGATGGAGTAGACAAGCAACCAACGGTAGAAGGTGTACGAGATCACTCAGTGGGGACTACTAGTACCACTGAAAACCCTTCCACACAGAATTATTCCTCAATATCTTTTTCATCTAATGAAGCTGTTGGTGCTGCTAGTGATGATCAAGTTTTAGATGAAAATTCAGATCATAAGAGAAAGAAAGATACACAGCCAAAATTAGGGTCTGATGGAGATCATGAAGACAAGGCAAAGAAAGGTTTTAGCTCTCTCTCACTGTAATGGTGTCCGAGGGATTCTGTTGGGGACGGGCAGCCCACTGCTCGACATCTCCGCCGTCGTTGACGAGGAATCCATACAAAAGGTTTGGAGCAGCACAAGGCCTAAAAAGGCTAGGTTTCTCAGCATTCATCAAGATCGAGATCACTATCTCTCTTTCTTCACACCACCGTCCCTTACCTCTCGCCCTCTGCCTCCTCGAGGTTGTCTACTCCCACATCGCCGCTACAGGCTGCACAAACAATGAGCTTCATGGTTGGATTTTTCAACAGTGGCATTTGTTCACAGTCAACAGTGGCGTTTGTTCTACACTAATTCAAAGTTCAGTGTGCGTACCCTTTGAGTTTTTCAATCATTTTTAGGAATGATCACAGTCAACAGTGGCGTTTGTTCTACACTGGCTAAAGGGAGACTTTACTTTTGAAGACCCCGAGAGTCATGAGGATGCTAAAGTTGGCGAATCCAATGCCACTTTAGAAAAAGAAGTCACATATTCAACCTCAACAGCAGTAACCAGTCAAATCCAACTTAGAGGGGGTGGGCATCAAAAGCAAAAGCAATCAAGTGAGCTGTGGTACGAAAGCAAAAGAGAGAGGTGCAATGAGCATAAAAAAAACAAAAGCAGAAAGTAAAAGAGAAAGCAAAAGAGAAGGCAAAAGTAAGGAATAAACACCCCACCAGAATGATGTGATTTACTTTTCTGGTTTTTTGTATGATGTAATTTATTTTTCTTATCTTTCGGAGACAACTGTATAAACTCCATCAGAGGGTACTAAAAAATAAAAAAAATATATAAAAAAAAATTCAAAGCCCAAAATAAATGGGCTGGCATGTTGTGGAGGGCGAAGGCCCATAAGCCCATAAGCCCAAAATAGCACCAACTAGGTGATCAAAAGTACGTCCACCACTACAAAACATTATTCGGCACCCCACCGCTATTACCACCAACCAGGTGACCAAAAGTACGCCCAGTACTCCAAAATTATTCGGCAACCTGCCTCTATTATCACCAACCAGATGACCGAAAGTACCCAGTACTCCAAAATTATTCTGCAACCTGCCGCCATTACCACCAACCAAGTGATGAAATGTACAACCCGTACTCCAATATCATTTGGCAACTAGCCATTCAAGCCACCAACCCGTACCCTCATTCATGCCACTAACCAGGTGATCAAAAGTACGCCCAGTACTCCAAATTATACATAAGCATTACTCATGTCATTCATACATAAACATTCATGAGCATCACTCATGACAATCATACATAAACATTCATCACCATCATTCATGTCAACATTCATGAGCATCACTCATGTTAACATTCATCAGCATCACTCATGACAACATCCATGAGCATCACTCATGTCAATCAACATAAACATTCATGAGCATCACTCATGTCAATCAGCTTCAAAAGCTTCATTTACAAAGCTACAGCTTCAAAAGCTTTATTTACAGAGCTCTAGCTTCAAAAGCTTCATTTACAAAAGCTCCAACTTCGAAAGCTTCATTTACAGAGCTCTAGCTTCAAAGCTTTACTTACAAAGCTTTAGTACAGGGTATACAAATACCACCTCCGAATAACCGCCACGTCGGCCCATACATGGATTCAATTTGAAGTCTCCAGCCAACAGACTTTATTGACCGAAGACTTGGGGGACTACACTATACACCATATATTGGGCCTCAACTGGGCCTCATGAAAATACTTGGGGGACTTAGCCCATATTTATAAAAGGGACTCCCTCACTTAGAGAGCACTTATGAAAAATACTTGGGGGACTTAGCTCATCATTTATGTACTGAGGAGCGAGCCCTTATTTTATAAAAGAGACTCCCTCACCATCATTAGAGAGCATCAACTATAGCCCATCATTCAAGTATTGAGGAGCGAGCCTTTATTCTATAAAAGGGACTCCCTCACCTTCAACGCCATAAGCCGAGTCAACCAAGGCAACATAAGCCACGAGCCGAGCAATCTCGCAACGTGTGCTACTTCTAGTTGAGCATCATTTCAGATTGAGCACCGCCTCATATCGAACATCAGTTCAAGACAACATCTAGTTACTTCGGCCCACACATGGACTGAATTTCAAGTCTCCAGCCAAAAGACTCTCTTCATTGAAGACTTGGGGGGACTACTGTTTATACCATATTTAGGGCATCGTATTTAGATCTTGTACAAATACTCGGGGGACTTAAATGTAATTATATGATAAAGAAAGGGGCAAATATGTAATGAGTGATGAGTCCTTATTCTATAAAATGACCCCTCACCCTTACAATTAGAGGAGGCCAATTCTGAAGCCTTTTCACCCCTCTCAAAGCTCTCACTCTCAGAGCTCTCTCTCCCTCAAATAAATACATAATCAGTGTGGACGTAGCCCAAACCTTAGGGTGAACCACGATACTTCTTGTGTTATTTACATTACTTGCAGATTCACGGTCGGATTTACATTGTTCTAAGACCTCCGGTTTTGTGCATCAACAAAGGGCATTGAATTCAGCCTGCATGGCTGATCCCCATTCAGCAAATTTAGAGACCTGATTATAAGTTGTGGGCACATAATCAAGAAAGGATGATAAAAGGTGTTTGGTAGCAGTGTAAACTTTAGGCTTGAAAATGCCATTCTTTGATCTAGACCATAGGCTGAATGTTTTGAACTGGTAAAGATGGAGAAGATAAGGGATGGCTGAAATTGGGTGGTGATACAACTTCACTAGAGGTAGGAGAATTTAAAGTAGGATTGATGGAGTGAAGACTTGGTAAGACAGATTGTGAGTTGGAAATGGGAAATTGCAGGTCAAAACCAGGAGAAGTAATAAGGGTAGAATCAGAAGTTGAGACTAACTTGGCAGTAAAGGGAAAAGGCTTCTCATCAAATAAAACATGCCGAGAGATGTAGACTCTGTCAGTGGCCATGTCTAAACACCTATAACCCTTATGTTGTAGACTGTACCCAAGGAAAACACACTGCTTGCTTTTGCCATCAAGTTTAGAGGTGACATAAGGTTTTAATCATGGTTAACAACTACACCCAAAGACCTTGAGCCTAGTATAATTTGGTAATGTATGACATAATAACTCCCATGGAGATTTTGCAAGACCAGAAATGGGCAACCTATTAATCAAGTAAGTAGCAGTGGATAGAGCTTCAACCCAATATACTTTAGGAACATTAGTGGCTACTAACAATGTTCTGGCTGTTTCGACAAGATGCCTATATTTTCGTTCTACACATCCATTATGTTCAGGCGTATAGGGGCAACTGAACTGATGAGAAATGCCATGCAACTTGAGATAAGACTAAAAAGAAGCACTAGTAAATTCACCCCCTGAGTCAGAACGTATAGCCTTTATTTGATTACCAACAGATTTTTCCACATAGTTCTTGAAAATTAGAAAGGTAGAATACACCTTAGATTTTCTTCTCAAAAGAAAGAACCAGCTATATCTGGTGTAATCATCTACTAACAATAGGTAATACTGAAAACCACTCACAGAGGTCATAAGGGTAGGTCCCCATACATCACAATGAAGTAAAGCTAGACTATGGGAAGTAGATGAACTAGCAGAGTAAAAAGGCAGTTTATGGTTTTTAGCGATAACACAATTCGAACAGTAGAAGTCAACTGAGGATTTACCTTACAGTGCAAGCTTATTACCATAAATCACTTTCCGAAAGATATTAGAGGAGGGATGACCCAATCTACTGTGCCAAACCTTCACTAGAGCTTTAATGCTGACAAATGCAGATGAAGAAATTGAAAAAAAGGTACCATTTGAAGTAAAGCTTTGCAAAGGATAAGAGCCATCTCTAACTGGTCCCCGCAAAAGCATCTTCCCCGTAGAACGATCCTTGACAAGGGATCCATCAAAATCAAGTGTCAATGAACATGAATTGTCTTTGACAAATTGAAAAGCAGACAACAAGTTGTGCTTCATTTGAGGAACATGAAGTACATTGTTCAATGTAAAAGAAGTACTGGGAGTATGTAATAAAGAGGAACCAATATGGTTGATGGACAGACCTTTACCATCACCAATATAGACTTAAACTTTACCGGTGTAAGGAAATAAAGAAGAGATGTTAGAGATGTCATTAATAATGTGAGAAGTTGCGCCCAAGTCAATAAGCCAGGAATGAGGAGGGGGCTTTGATATATAATGCGCACACTGTTGGAAATGTGCCCTAAAACCAATCATATGATGATACTTTACGGACATTTCACATGTTAAACTAATCTAGTTTAATATCAAGGGCATAGATTATTGTTTTAAGCAGTCTCATATAAATGTTATATGCTTAAACGATGAGTCCAAGGAATATGTAATTAGGAGAATGTAATTTAAAGAAGTTAGATTCATGAGACCATTCTCTTTCGTATACATATCCTAAACGTTTCTGATCATAGGATTGCCAATTGGGCATTGACAGTCCGTTAAGATCAGTATGTGATATGTCTTCTCTTAGTGAGAGTGACTGGTCTCGAGTCATTGGTGTGACTGACACCAAGACAAGTACGTAGGTGCTCAATAAGGAATGAATTCACTGAACACGATCAACGAAGAGTTCTCATACTCATGTCACATGAGAACTCATGGTTGGGATAATGCAAAGTAGTCATTTGACATGAGGCATCATAGTTGTCTTGTGGTTAGGTCCTTGATCTTTGATTATGTCAAAGTCACTCCATTCGCTGGTGTCCACAACATAGTTGGGGTTAAGCCACTTAGCCATGGAGGCAAGTGAATGTGCAACAAGGGATCTCTAACCTTCAAACCGTTTGAGGGAGAATACTCTATGATATGATTAAGAATCTCTGGCCAGAGTATGAATGAGATTTAGGAAGTTGTTCCAAATCACATTCAAAGTAATCATATAAGTAAATGAATCACATTGGATAGTAGACATGAATAAACTATCAAACCAAACAATGTGATCAAGAGTATTGTATTAGAGAAAGACCTTATTGCATTGTAATCCTAAACTGAATAGGTTCTCCACCTCTTCTGATTAGCTTGGGTAGCCATGACATACTGCTAGGTGTCACTCATGGTTTGTGGTAGCCCTAAAGGCGAGTAATCACTAAAGGGAGAATTGAAAGTAAGTTTCAATTCACAATCGATTTGAAATGGTTTTAATCGCCCACTGCCTCGCTAAAAGGAACCTAATGGATCGTACACCGTGTAAGGTAGAGATTGAAGAAACAACGGAGATGAGTAAGAATAATTAAATGGTTTAATTATTTATGGCAAGGATTAATTAATATGTTAATTAATCAAACGAATAAGTTCGTTAAAGACCTCGGAATAGTATTGGACCTTAAGGCCCAATGGGCTTTGAACGTCAAGTCCATTGACTTAAGTTGTATGACAACTTAATGAATAATGATTCACAAAGGCACAAATGGCCCAATAATACCCTAAGGCCGGCCATTTAGAGGAAGGGTAGTGAACTTGCTTTAATTACAAGTTTGCCACTCCAATGAATAAAGGTATAAATATGACTTTATAGCCAAAATTCATTTAGGGTTTTTAGAGGAAATTGGAGAGAACACAAAACTCTCCTTTCTCTCTAAAGAGGCCGGCCACCCTTGGAGGGATTAGCTAGTAATCTATCTCCTCCAAGGTCACTCATCTCTTCTTCACATCTTACCTTGGTGTGGAGACTTAGAGGTTCTCAACTTTGAGAACTTAGAGAAACCAATTCTTCCATCCAAATCCATGGATCTAAGAAGCAAGGAATGAAGGCCCTATCTCTTGGGTGATTATCCTTTGCTTTTGCAAAGAGGAATCTACAAAGGTATACATTTCTCAACTCACTTAATTTTGAGTTGAGTCTTGGTTCACCTAACTACTAGGCTTTGAATTTCATGGTTAATGTTTTGTTTTTAAGTGCATACGAGCATGATTCCGCCTTTAATTTGTTAATTGCATGCTATAGATGTTGCTTAAATGAACATGTTTTTCACAAGATTTCCTTCACACACATTGCAGCAAACTTTGCTGAAGGCATTTTACCAGAAATATATGGATTCATGTGATCAAAGCAATCTATGGCCTCATGACTTGTATTTCCACAGATCTGGCAAAGACTACAAACACCAGAAGAAAATGAACCACGAGAGTTGTAATTATGACCACAATTGGAACCATAATTGAAGCCAAAATTGTAGTTGCCCCGATTATTGCCATTATTTCCCCGATTGCTGGAAAATCAATTGTTCCTGCCATGATTGGAATTATATCGAAAAGAGTTGTGAAGTGGTGTATGTTGAGCAGCAAAGGCCTAAGGTGGTGTTAGAAGAAGAGGTGGTAAAGTTTGAACCGAGAGAGCATGAAACGGTTCAGTGGTTGCAAATGAGGCAATTTTCTGATTCATAGAAAGCTCCTTTGTGAGTAACAATCCATGTAATTCATCAAGAGATGTTGAGAAGAGACGAAGCATGATAGAATCAATGAATGATTCGAATTCATCAAGAAGACCAGCGAGTGTAGCAGTAATAAGATCACGGTCTTAAACTGAAGCTCCGACGGTAGTGAGAGAATCAGAAATATCCTTGATCTGTTACAGATAATCAGCCATTGATTGGGAGCCTTTCTGAATACACTGAAGACGAGAATGAAGCTGATGAATGTGAGCATCAGAAACACCACCAAAACGCTGCTCAAGTTTAAGCCACAAATCTCTAGACGAAGAAACACCAACAGTAAACGGAATGACTTCTTCAGAGAGTGTTGAATTGAACCAGATGAGAAGATTCTGATCCTTCTCATACCAGCTCTCAAAATCAGGATTGATCGATCGGTCTGGTAAAAATGGTGCCGGACAAGGCTAAGTTCCATCAATGAGTCCAAGAAGCTTGTAGCGACGAAAAATTAGGGCAAAAAGAGCACACCATGGCAAATAATTCAAACGCTTGAACTTGATCGGCACCATGCTACCGATGTTTTGAATCGTAAGAGAAGTGTAAGATTGGGACGAATTGGGGTTTGGAGTTGGAATCGGAGAGGAGGATTCAGTCGGTGACGCCATTAGAGATCAAGATTAAGAAGACAAAATTCAAGATCGGAGAATAACACAGTGAATTTCTTACAGATCAGAGATCACAGGAGAGATCGGAGAAGAAAGCATGACAGAAAAGACTAGCATCGAAGAGTGTCGTGAGGTGGTGGCGATGGATACCATAAAGAAACCAAAAGAAACAGAAGAATGGTTTTACTGAATAATCCTCTTCTCATTACTTGATAATTACAATTACATTTGGGGTATATATATAGTTAAGGCCATGTACAAAAACTTCCTCTATCAACCTGTAGCAAATATAACAATCTAACCAAAACTATACAATTGTAACAAGAATAATTGGCTACCTAAACTATATGAACTGTCATGACTTGGCATCTTTATCTTTAATAGCATCGCTGATGTCCAATCTTTCTCTAGGCAACTCTGATAATCAAGCAACACCAATTTCTAAAAGTGAAATTAAACTTTCTTCAATTTTGACGCGATTCCTTGCGCTATCCTCGTCAGGATGATTACTCTCTTGAACAAGAACGGGATCCAAAACCTCTTCCACTTTTTAGGCAGAGTTGCCTTCACAAAGCTATATATAAAGGTTTGAAGCTCCCTGAAACAAGTTATCGATTGATCATTTCCCTGTAAATATTTACAATAGGAGGATGCCAAAGCTGTACACATCACCTTGCGTCTACACTTCATGTCCCATGCCATACTATGCATTTCCACAATTCAGAATATTATATACTAATTTTCTGGTTAAGTGAAATGTTTGAAAATTTTAAAATAAATACTGCACAATTTTCAACTACTAGCTAGGGAAAAAAAACAACCAAGTGTATTTACCTGGAGGAGCGTAACCAATAGTTCCTTTGATCCCTAAAGAACTTGATTGATTTCCCAAAGAACTTTCAGCACCTTTTGGTAGGAATCTCAGCGACCAGAAGTCACTACATGTGCAATCATGTCGTCATTGAGAAGAATATTGATGGGTTTGAGGTAATGAACTATTGGTGTCTCACAATGATGATGGAGATAATCCAATGCCATGGCAACATCAATAACAATATTCAACCTCCAAGAAAGTGTTAAGCTCCTTGGCCTCTCATTTGGCTTACCAATTGTATGAGTTGGATGCATCCATTCCTCAAAAGCTCCCATTAACCATGAACTCATAAATTAAGGCCTTGAAATCATGACCGTGATAATCAAAACTAGAACAGGCTGATAGTACCTTGAAAAGATTACAGTGTTTAATATTCCTCAAAACCTCACACTCAGAAATAAAACTTTTGTAAGCTCCGCGACGGATGAGGTTGAATACTTTGACAGCAATTGTTGTTTCACCTTGCCCAAGAACTCCTTTATAAACAGATTCAAAACTGCCCATACCAATCAAGTTGACAGAGGAAAATCCATCAGTAGCTTTGAGAAGACTTTTGGGAAGTAAACCAGTCAAATGTTTTTTAGAAAAATCCAAAGCAACAAATGAAAACGACTCACCAATCACTTGTGGGGTAATTTACCACTCAAATTGTTATCAGCAAGTGTTAAACATCCCTATGTTCCGCGGCTACTTGAGGGAATATTGCCTTAAGTTTGTTGGCTTGTAAACTTAATATAAATAGTTCACTTAAATTCCCAAAAGAGGGTGGGATATAGGCAGAGAGATTGCTAAAACCCAAATCTAATTCATATAACCTCCGAAGCTTTCCAACATCGGGTGGGATGCTTTCTGAAAATTGGTTCTTGGCAAAACAAACGCTCTCCAGGTTAGCCAGATTTCCAATCCCATGGGGGATTCTTCCTGATACTTTATTGTATTCTGCATGCAAGTATACAAGAGAAGAAGACAAGTTTGCTATGCATTGAGGTAGAATACCCCCAAAATTGTTTGTATCGATTAGCAGTCGCAATAACTGGGTGGCATTAGTCAAATCGCATAGAAAGCTCAAGTCACCATTTCCCCCACTTCCAAGGCTATTGTAAGAAAGGTTTATAGTTTCTAGCTTACATAGATTTTTCAAAGAGGGGACTTTTCCATGAATATTGTTGTTTACCACCGAAAAGGTATCTAGATTTGAGGCATTAGATAATGTAACAGGTATAGTTCCACTAAATTGGTTGCTGCCGATGCCAAAATACTTGAGATTTGGAAAGAGAATACCTAAGTCTGGAAGCAAAGTGCCTTGGATTTTACTTCCTTGAACATCAATGACACTAATGGAAGAGAGATCATAGAGTGAGGGAGGGATCACACCCGACAACCTATTATTACCCAAACCTAGTTCTTTAAAATTGGCCAGTTGGCCAAAGATATCTGGAATACTCCCATAAAAATCATTACCGGTTGCTGAAAGCAACTCAAAAGATGATAAATTGGCAAAAGAGTTGGGGATACTTCCTGTGAGTTTGTTGGAGAGTACTGAAATTATTCTTAACTTTGAAATTATTCTGGTATTGGTTTCATTCCATGAAGTCAAGTCTTCAACAGGGTCATTGGTTATCCTCGCCTTGATTTCAAGCAACGTCAATCGATCTGTCTCATTTCCACTCAGTCTCAAGGCAAGGCATGAGTGACAAATTAGGACATGAAAGCAAAAATATGAGGAAAGCAAAATTGAAATGAACTTGTTCATCCCCATATACAGTATCAGTCTTGTAAAACTTAATTTGGCTACAAGTGAATGCTACTTGATATAGCTGCTTTGAGAAAAATACGTCTAATAAGCACCATAAGTTAAGGCAAATTATTTTGTATCTATTTTCTCGTTCAGATTACAAGTTTAAGTTAGAGAAAGTATATGCTCCTAGACTTTGCCTTGGTCAAGCATTAGTGTTGGATTTTTCTTCTTGCCTTGTTCAAGGAAAAACTCAGAGGCTGCTAAGTATATTGAAATTGAAAGGGACAAGCTACAACGCCATTTTCAAGTAAAGGAAGCAACAAAAGCATGCTGCTAAAGCATTAGGTAATCTTTCAACCAAAAAGCATTAAATAATCAACCTATGTATAAGTTATTTATTTGAATCTTTCTAGGGGTATTTAATTTTTGTTCACTTCGTAATGTCTTGTTACTGTTTATCGGGCTGGGCTTGTTTGAGACTGATTCCGTCGTAAGCACTTCTTAGGTGGAAAAGGCAGCTAAATTTTATTTCAAATTATGCAGGACAGACCAATCTTGAACATCTGATGACATTTCATAATGCTCTCTAAAATATGGGAGGAAAGTAGCGGCTAGAAAAATCATTGAACTCATAGGTTAGTAGAAGTGCAACATTGTGAACAAGCGTAACCAACTGAAGTCCTCTTGCTATACAATCATCAACCATACTAGAATGATTTCAGTGGTAGCGGAAACGTTTGCAGCTTTTTATTGATCAAACGAATATGAAAACCTCTTTCGTTATTGATACAACACAACAATTTGCATTACATGCTATGGAGACCAGAGCACAAAACAGTAGGATTTTATTCACATATTCTACTTACTAGCTTGAAGTTTGTTTCTTATCTGACACATCTTCGCCAAAGCATCACTAATGTTCAACCTTTCTCTTGGCAACTCTGCAGAACAAGCAACACCGACTTCTAAAACTGAAATCAAGCTATCCCGAATATTTATGCAAGCCCTTGTATCCTCATTAAGACTATCGTCATTGCACATGTCCCCTTCCCCTTTTTCTTGAACAATAACAGGATCTGCAACATGTTCCATCTTATTAGGCAGAGCAGCCTTGACAAACTTATGAAGGTTTACACTTCCCTGAAACATCTCATCTGTCGGTCTTTTCCCTGTGAACAATTCCAGTAGCAGAATGCCGTAACTATACACATCACCTTGTGTCCAGACTTCATTTCCCATGCCATACTCTGCATTTGCACAATACAAAACACCAGATTATTGTATTTCATAGTAAGTTCTCTCAAAGCGAAATTCTCATGCGTCAAACTATTAAATTAATTAACGACTTAGAGATTTAGGACATCTTGTATAAAGAGTATTCACCTGGAGGAGTATAACCGATTGTTCCTTTTACTCCACAGGTGCTCGATTGATTTGCAGAACAACTATCTTGGGATTTGAGAAGGAATCTTACCAACCCAAAGTCGCCTACATGTCCAATCATATCATCATTCAGAAGAACATTGCTTGGCTTGAGATCGCAGTGAACTATTGGCGTTTCACATTGATGATGGAGATAATCCAATGCCATAGCAATATCAATCGAAATGTTCAACCTTTGTGAAAAATTTAGAGTCCTTGGTCTCTCATTTGTCTCACCAACTGTGGGAGCCAGATGCAACCAGTCATCTAAGGTCCCATTAACCATGAACTCATAAACTAGGGCCTTGAAATCATTACCATTATAATCAATACTAGAACATGCGGACAGTACCTTCACAAGATTACGGTGTCTGATGTTTCTCAAGGCCTCACACTCAGCAATGAAGCTTTTGGAAGCTCCAGGATTAACAAGGTTCAGTACCTTGACAGCAACTGTTGTTTCGCCTTCGTCAAGTACTCCTTTGTACACAGAACCAAAACTTCCCGCACCAATCAAATTGGAAGAGGAGAATCCATTAGTAGCTTTTAGAAGACTTTGGTAAGACACCCTAAGAAAGTTTTCTTTATCACTGGAAGTACGATCCTTTCTTTCCCTATGCACGCAACAATGGTACATAAAAGCAAATGCAAATGTGACTCCAAGAAGGGCAGAAACGATGGAGATTATCAGTTTCAAGGTCAGGCTCAATCCTACCTTTTTGAGTTGTTCACGCTTGCATTTTGGCAATTGAAATTCAAGTACGCCCCCGCAAAGTTCTCTATTGCCTTTAACGGATGTTGCTGTTGCATTCTTAAAAACTCCTTCAATTGGCACCATCCCCTCCAACATATTATAAGATAGATTCAAAGATTGCAGAAGTACAAAGCTCTCTAGGAATTCCGGAATCTTGCCAGACAAGTTGTTGTGAGAAAGATTTAATTCTCGAACCCCCCTCAGAGAAGCCAAAGACAATGGAATTGTTTCTTGAAAAAGATTTCCTTGCAGGTATATATATTCTAATTTTATACAGCTACCAAGACCTGATGGTATCTGACCAGAAAACATATTTTCGGAAACATCTAAGTACTCCAGATTTATCAGTTTTCCTACTTCTTGTGGAAATGGACTGGTGAAACGATTTTGAGATAAATCTAATGAAATATATGATGACGACAGACCAATGACTCTCGGTGAAATGTTACCGCTGAGATTGTTGTTTGTAACGAACAAGACTTGCAAATTGTGACACTCTGCTAAACTTAAAGGTAAATTTCCTTGAAGCTTATTTTGGTCAAAATATAATTTAGTTAAACGACTTAAATTTCCGAAAGAGGAAGGAATTTCCCCTGACAGAGAATTTATAGCTAAATCTAATAAATATAAATTTTGAAGCTTTCCTAGATCAGAAGGGATTTCACCCGAAAATTGGTTCATAGACAGATACAAGCTCTCCAAGTTAACAAGATTTCCAATTCCATTTGGGATGCTTCCTACTAATTTATTGTCACTTGCATAGAAAACTTGAAGAGAAGCAGACAAGTTGGCTATGCATTGGGGTAATATACCCCCAAAATTGTTCATATTTAGGTTCAATCTTTTTAGTTTCGTGGCGTTAGACAAATCACAGATAAAGCTCAAGTCATTAGTTCCGCCACTTCCAAGATCGTTCGCGGTTAGAACAAATCTCTCAAGCCTATGTAAACTTTCCAAAGAAGGTACATTTCCGTGTAGGTTGTTTCCTAGCATTGACAGATGACCTAGATTTGAGGCATTGGACAGTGAAACAGGGATTGATCCACTAAATTGGTTATAAGAAATATCAAAATATTGGAGACGTGGAGAAAAAATACCTAAGTTGGAGGGAAAAGTACCTTCGATTTCATTCAGTTGTATTGAAAACCTTATGAGAGAAGGTAGATTGAAGATGGAGGGTGGGATCATGCCAGAAAGCGAATTGTCTGCCAACCCAATTTCTGTTAACTTTGTCACTTGGCCAAAAATATCCGTAATACTCCCGCTCAAAGTATTAGAAGATGCAGAAAGCACTTCGAGAGATGATAAGTTGCTGAAAGAGTAAGGGACGCTTCCTCTAAGCTTGTTGTAGCGAAGTACAAGTACTCGTAGTTTTGACAAAGTGCCCAGCTCTTCTGGAATTCCTCCTACCAGCAAATTGTGGCCGAGATCGATTTCGAGGAGTTGCGAGCAAGCTGATAAGTTGGAGGGAATATCCCCCCCAAGTGAATTATTGTTCAATCGTAACACTTGCAATCTGCGGAGACGGCCAATCTCTGTTGGGATTTCTTGGCCAAAGCTATTGTTTTGGAGATTAATGACTCTCAGAAAGCTCAAATTCCCAACATGTGGTGGTATGGATCCTGCAAGTTTCAAGGACTCAAGGTTCAATCCGGTGGCCCTCCGGTGACGATTACTACATGTGACACCACGCCATTGGCAAAAGTGGATGGTTTCATTCCATGAACTCATGACTGCAAAAGGGTCCTCGGTTATCCTAGCCTTGATTTCAAGCAAGGCCAGACTATCCGTCTCATTGTTTTCGGCGCCAAAGGAAAAACCAAGACATGAGTTAAGAACAAAAGCATGCATGCACAACAATGAGAAAAACGCAAGCACTGACAGTGATGGGAAGAACTTGTCGATCCCCATCAACGAAAGTTTGGCTAAGCAGTGTTGTTTGCCTCTGTCTAGCTAACAGATTGAGAAGAATGTATGTAGTTTATAAGCATCGGCAACTCAGTTAAATAATTCATTCAATGCTGTACAGCCAAGCATGCTCACATGCAAACTGATCGTCACCTAACCATCCACATTTAAATATATGGGCTCGAGCAAGTTGCAGTGTATCAAGCTTGACCAGATATTGCGTGTGGGGGAAACTTTTTTGTCTTATGAGCAAGTTGCAGTGTCCCATAATAAAAAATAGATGAGGATATGATATTGAATGACTCGCTCATGAGTCATGACTCATGAGATGAATCACACACAAAAGCGTTCAAAGTCTATCTCGATATATGCTCATGTCATGCATCGGGGATATAAAAATGTCAATACCAACATGTGAGGTACGTACCATTCGTCACTCCTCGACCTTCATTCCGCTCACATGACTGATACCATGTTCAACTATTCCTCTCTCCCTATCTTGCCATTCGATAAGATATGCGGGTGCCTGGCTTTTCCATTTTATTTTTGGGTTATCAATTTGTATGTACGGTAGAATTCTCTCCCTTAAAAAAAAATCACAAAATGGTTTTAATTTTGTTGTTTAGCTAACCATTTTTGTTAATTTAAGAATGAATCACAAATACTATTTTAAAAATTCCCGCTTAGATGCTAGGGGCTGGCTACCCCGATTAGTCCGTATGCATTTGAAAATTAAGAAAATGTGCCTAAACCCGCTTAGGCGCACGCCTAAACTGTCTAAACCCACTTAGGTCACAGCTATCACTTAGAGAAAAAATAAATAATTTTCATTTTGCATTTTAATCTTTCAATAAAATGTAAGAGACTTGTTGAATACTTGGATGAACACTTATTATATGTTTGTTCTCCATGTTTTCAATATGTTCTAATACTTTAT